CTTTTTATGTATTAGGTATACCACAGACGACTTTTTTGTTTATATAAGGCCAACGATGTAAAGACAGGTGTAGCCTAGCTAATTGCTAGGACCTAGTCGCATGGACCAGCCTTGGGAAACCAAAGAATTTGAATATCTATAATCTATATCTTCGTACAAATATGACAGAAAACAAAAAGGTATGGTCTAATGCAAACTATCAAAGTGGCGAAGGTTTCTTTTTCTGGAGTTGAATACCTCATTCAAGACTTATTTTTTATTCAATCCGTAGGAATTAATAAAAAGGCAAATCTCTTATGATACACTAAATCTAGCTAACTCAATTATTCATAGAGCGATTAGATGTGTCAGTTTTTTAAATCTCTTTTCTAATTTAAAATTATGGTGTGAGGTGCATCCTCCCTATTTCGGATATGAAATAAATGAAATAGACCAAATTAGTAGACATTTAATCAAGAATGAAATCTTATTTGAACGGTCTATATCTAGATCATCATTCGGAACCATACCGCATCTCGAATCTAGTGAAGTAGGATGTCTTATACATTTCAACTGTATCTCCTTCGAAGGCGTGGTTCAGACAGGAGTCAAATTCATGGTCATTGAATGGGTACGTACATGGGGAATTTGCTGTATTTCGTTACATAATCATGTTTTCTAGTGGTAAAGATAATCATGGAGCGGAGGGAGGTAGAAGGCATGGCTCTCTTTTGCACCACGTCGCGTTCCAAGAATAATGCGTTTGTGAGGCGCGTTTTGTTGTGTAGCTTAGCCCTCACGCCTTCAAGTTCTGCAAGAGGTGTTAGCCTTCAAGGGCTCACTAATCAAGGTGATCAAACATAAGAATTGGAATCCACACAAATTTTCATAAGTTACATAGAAGAAATATTACACTAATTTAACCGTAATAGTTTAAAAGAAAATTCATAGCAATAAAAGTAATATTGTCATTTTGTACATATAGTCTCTAGATATGTATACATTTGAACACAAATTATTGAAACAACTATCGTGCTAAATCTTTTCAATTACACCAACTATTGTGTTGGGAAATTTCATGGATTTTTAGGTCGTTTAATGTTCTTGCTCATAACTTTGCTAAGTATGCTATTAATCTTTCAGATTCTTGTATATGGAGAAACTCTCCTCCATTTTTTATTTGTTCTGCACTTGTTGCAGATTCGATCTCATGATTAATAAAATTATTCTATTTTATTATCAAAAAAAAAAAGATCCTCCAAATAACAATTCAATTTCGCTGCTAAAATCAAGCTTCTTTTTTGTTGTAATTTAAAATTGTGTTTCGAGAATTCCGAAAAAAAGGACTTAAGTAGCATTTAATATAAAGAAATTGTAGAAAATTCAATACACACCAACTAGCTAGTTATGGTATATACGTGTATTCATGTATTAAGTTGTCTATAAGTAGGGTCGTAACAAATACTATTAATTAGTTTAACGTCTAAAATTCATGGTAAAGAACTTCTATTTTTCTATCTATACATTCCAATTATATTCATATTATTTATGTACAATTTTTTGTATGTGTAATATAGAGATACTTGTGCATTAATCTATACATGTATCCATGTATCCGTATATGTAGCTTCAAATTTTCACTTTGCTTATCAGACCACATGTTGAACTGCTACAGATGTGACAGAAAGCTATCGTATATAACATATAAATGTGTATTATATGCTATATATTGATCTCAATGATATATCCCGTACCTTAGCATGTTGACAAGGCGATTTTATTTAATGCAATTACATTGATAATTCTAGGTGTAAAATGTCTTAATTTTTATTTCTGTAATTGCATAAAAAATAATAATTATATAGAAAATAATAGGCAGATGCCCATATACCTACTTTGACAAGGTGAATTTGATTAATAAAGTCAGTAATCTGTGTCGCCTCATTCCAAGATAAAATATATAGTCTACATCGGTATGTCTTTTAATTACTACTTATTCTCAGTTAATTTTGAAGAAACCTTAAGAAACAAGTATTCAAAATATGTTTTTTTTCTTTTTCCATCTCCAAGGTTTTAACAGGTTACAGAAACGGAGAATCCACCTTTGTGAGTGATGCTTAGCAATAAATTGATCATTCAAACTTGAACTCAATATTGGCCAAAAAATAATATGCTGGTAATGTCAATGGCCAGATAAAACATGTACTAAATTTTAATTATGTTTCATCTGCATCCGGCTAGTGTCATTTTACCCTCATTACAACTGCCTGGATTGGGATTCTCGATGTCACTATTCAATGTCAAATCCAGTATCAGTTCCACTTATCACGTGAGGATAAAAGAAACTTGAATTAAATCGAACCAATCTGATTTATTAAAAAAATTAAAAGATACATGACAATTTAAATAAATAGAACAGTTAGCATAAATATAGAAGTGGTATTGAATTGTCACTAAGAAGTGACACCGAGGATCCCATATAAAGGAATTGTAGCCATTTTTTAACCTCTTGAAAGTTAGGGAAACGATAAAAGAGGTGATCAATTGTCACTGAATATACGCAATGAAGATCTACGTACCACAAAACCAAATAATAATACTCTTATCGTTTTTACAGGCTAAACATGCAAGTGCAAACACTATATCTTATGCATATACACGCATGACAAGTAAAAAGCACAGAACATATAAAGTACGAAGACTAAAAAAAGGCTAAAATCTCAAACAGGAGACAAATCAAGAGTGATATATAGAAATATCTTTTTATGGGTCATATATGAAATGCTGAAAATATGCTCCAAATTATCAACTGCATCTGGATTCTGGCCTCTGTAAAAGCATGCATCTCTCTGTCAATCATATTTGCTGTCCCATGCCATAGAAGCTGCCATAAGTAAGCATTACACATAATTATTAAACACACGTCATAATTAATTATTCACATTTTCAAAACAAAAAAAAAAAAAATTCTTTTGTGTTAACAAAAATGTAAAAAGGAGCAAAGGAAGTTCTTTCTACCTGCTTTGGCAAGAGTCCAGTTCTCATCATAACCAAGTGCCCAGAAGAAATATCCCCCAAGACCCTGAGCCTTGGCAAACCTGATCTTCCTTCGAATCGACCTAGGGTCATCATACCCTATCCAATTGGTTCCAGCATAAGCATAGGTTGATACTGTTTCAGGATCATAAACCACAGTGGCATTATTTTTTATGTTGAAACCCACTATATCTTTATACAACATAACCCCTTGATCTCCAGGGCCTATTCCTACTGCTGGAGCTCCAATTCCATGATCATTTGCATCCTCCAATTCCCATGTCCTCCCATACACCGGCATTCCCATGACTAGCTTTCTTGACGGCACTCCATCTGCTTTCCATGTAGAAATTCCATAGCTCGTGCTAACGTTGCTGGTTTTATCATAAAGCAATGCATGAGCACATGTTTTTGATGTGTCCCAACCACCATGGTAATCGAAGCACATAGGATTTACAGAGTCAACGTATTCTCTGATGGCATCAACAGGATAAGTACGAGCAACATTGTCCAAGAGCACATCAGCAGAAAAGTAAACAGCTGCTGATAGAAGAAGTCGACGTTTGCCTGAAGCAATTGAGTCATCCTCTACTGCTGAACGCCATTCTTGGAAAAGGGATGCCAGGTTTATCATGTCTTGCTGGTTAGATGGAAATTCCCAATCGAGATCTAAACCATCAAATCCATACTGTCTAGCTACAGAAATGGTGGAGCGAATGAATGTGGCACGGCTGTTTTGATTGCTCACCATGTTGGAGAAAAGGGAAGTATTTGTTGCTCCACCACCTATACATAAGAAGGCCTTTGCTGGTGGATTTCTTGTGTGAATTGTGGCTGTGAAGTTTCCCATCCATTGTTCATCAAATTCAGTGACTGAAAGCTGGTAATTCTCTGCATCAAACTGGACAAAGGCATATATGAGGCGATTGAAGTATGGAGTTGGTATAGCTGATGGAGGGAGATTTTCTGCCAACCAGGAAGGCCAATATGCACCTTTGACCCCAGAATATCGAGATGCATTAGACTCCGAAGTTTCCAAACCAATCAAGACAAAAATAAACAAAAGCAACGCGAGTTTTAGAGTGGCCATTGTAAGGTATATTGCTCGTTCAACTTTCCAGTGGCTGACAATACTATCACTAAACAGTGTATTTATACTTGTCGTCAGGAAATAAAGATACAAATACATGTCGACGTCAATCTTTCTATGAAATTCTATTAGCATGACGTTAATGGCACGGACGGTAGACTTATTGCCATGTTATGCTAATGCAGGCATACAATTCAGAATAACTCCTGAAGATGGACAGGTGAATACATCCCGACGATCTGTGAAGGCTATTTGGGATCCCTGTTGTGAGCAGTTACCTGTCTGGACAAAGACAAGATGACATTGGTTCCAATCTGATGTCCTAATCAAGATTGTTGGATCCATAAGCCTACCCTCATTCCAAATTAGGCACCGGTTCCAACCAAAATTTCAGCCAAACATAAATTCATTTCGTTTGTTTGCAAACGTATTTACAGAAGAATCCAATTTTTTCCCTCCCAGTAAAGGCAGAGAAGCTGTCAAATCTACAGACAGGCAGTATACTTTGACCTCAAATATCTGTCTAATTTACTTGTGGCAGTGGTAATTTTATCAACTGCCTGACATTTGTGATACAATGATAAAAAGCCAAATTTGGAGTTTGATCACCCCAATTAAGATCCTGTTAACTTGCGCTTAATGAATTGCCCAAGAAGAAACCATCTATTAAAAGCATATGTTTGGATAGCAAATTTTTTTCAAAAAAAAATTTCGCTTGCATCATAAATACATTTCTCAATTTATCTTTTTATATTTTTAATCACATTTTTATCTCACATACATCACATTACAAAAAGTACTACAGTAATTATTCCAAATAATTATTTGGAATAATACTCTATCCAAATGGACCTGATTGAGTCTACATCTTTCGACAACTGCAAAAACTCAAATATGCCTCAGAAATATATGAAAACTTGATATTACTATGGGGATTTTTTTTTTTTTTTTTGCCCCTTTATACCAGAATACAGTTCAAGAATAAAAAATCAAAACAATGATGGCAAGAGACCATTAAATGGATGAGAAATGGGAAACTGAGCAGCTGATGGGATTGTATATTAATAGTATGTCGTCTGAGGAAGCCAGCAAAAGCATGTCAGTAGCAGAACATGTTAGCATTTTCAGCAAAATCCTGCAAACAAACAAGCATCACAGTCAGGAGAGAGAGAGAGAGAGAGAGATGGTACAAATGCGGATCAAAAGCTACCTTCACAAAATTTGGTTATGGAGCTAGCAATCGAGACACCATTGAGGTTAGCTTGCTTTGCTTTTCATCCACTCCACAAAATTATCCAGAATCAAAGACCATGCTTGATCTGAATCATAATTTTCAAGGTCTGGAAAGCTTATCTGTAAAAAGAGGAATGCTTGACAAAAATTAGAGAAAGATGCCCAAAAATTCAGTATCAAATTTGTCCTGAAATGAAGGAAAAATGGAGGCAATCTGTTCAGTTTAAAGTTTGGCTGATGAAAACGGCAATAGTGATTTGCTAAAAATCAACTGTAATTACAGAAAGGCAATAGTGATTTGCTAAAAGTTCTGTTTCTTGGATAGCATTATTTATATAGTTGGAAATGGCCAAAGAAATTAAAGAGAAAATAGAAAAATCTATGAAATTATACTGTTAACACTTTCTTCACCTAAATTGCTCGTGATACGTGCAAAGGGACAACCAAAGGATGAAATCTTCAAATACCCAAGTGGAAAAGAACTTTTGCTTTTGCTAAAACTCTCTTCCGGGCCAATACTCAAATAAGAAAACAAAAGATTTTCAGCAAAGGAACAAGATTTAACAACAAATTCATTGACAGAGAACTCATCAAAATATCTATAGCCCCAGATTTGAAACTTCAAATGACAGAAGGAACCAAGATATCAATGTAGGAGTGGAGCAAAGTTAGACAGTGAGTTAAAAAAATCATACCTCTTGGCAGAACCTGAGGAAGTTTAACCACTGATCCTTGTTAATCACCTTATACTCTTTCTGACTCTGAAACAGGTGCAAGTCTTATTACATCACAAGATATCAAAATTGATCACAAAAATGACTCCAAAAAGCACAACGTGCTACCCTAATAAGAGATCAAAAGCAAGAACGAAATCCCCAAACTTTGCCTCCTCATTATGATGGAGGATGGAAATGAATAGAACAGAATGACTGAAAAAAGCAATCCTCTTTTTTGTTGATTTTTTGCTTAATCCAGCACATGTTTCATGTTTGCGAACCCTGCTCAAGATTCACAAATTTTGCTCTGGTTAGAGTCACCCGTCATCTACTGAAGTTTTTGGCTATTGATGGAATTTATGTAATTAGAAAATTAGTTCAACTTGAGCAAGCTTTTCAAAGTGCAAAATACAGCAAGCAGACTTCCATTCCTCTATCAGAATGCTGCTGGTTAGCGCTTAAATTTTTTATTAAAACCCTTGTCAATTTTAAGTCCATTGAGTTTTTTATGGGCAAGAAAAAGCTCTACTGCTTGATGTCTCTTTAGCAGAACATGTGATTAAAATACAGAATGGATGGAATAGGAGTGGCCCAATGCAAAAACTTGGGAACTTTAGCTAAAACTAACGTAAAACCAACCAAACAGACACAAGCTAATTGAGACAAAATGAAATTGGCTGTGGCTACCAACCTTCAGGTACTTGGTGAAGTACTCAACCTGGGATCGATATTTTGGTCCAAGGACAAGATCTAATAATACGCAAGCACTCTCAATGTCTACACACTTTTGCTTCTCTTCTGGAAAAAATAAAGAAACCAACCATGTAAGAAAATTAATGGTGCCATTTAGCTGAATAATCTGCTATCTAAGTTTCTTACCTGTTAGGCAGTAGCGAAATGCATACATATAGAAATCATCAAAGTTTTCCGGCTTTGAGACCTTTGCATAAAAAATAAAATTAGCAAGTTGTCCTTGTATCTATTCAACAAGTCCATCAAGTAAATCAAGAATAAAGAATAAAAAAGTATACCTCTTTCTCCAGATTTGACAAAGATTTTTTCAATTTACTGATCCTGTCAACCTTAAGAGCATCCAATCCTCTTCGCCACTCTTCCTGAAATGTGAACCAATATAACATACAAAAAACTTCACAAGCAAAATATTCACCTTAAAGCCTACATACACGTCTTCAATTTAGCTACAATACAAACTTGTAGACAGCGGCAGCTGTTTAGCATAAAGACCAATCCTTAATGGCATTCTAGCCATGGCAACTGAACCGTTGAAACAAAAATATATCACAAAGTAGAGAAACATAACGATGGAAGTGCACAATCAGAATATGAAATGAACACCCTAATTTGCATGATGCCACAAGCTTCACTGTGCAAAGTGCATTTTTTAGAAAGAATGCATATCCAGATAACATCAATTTTCCCTCTATGTTTGCTCTGAAGGATATATCAAATTCAGAGCTTCTAGGGGCCAGTTTTGAGCTCGAGATCAGAAGTGAAAACTAAGTTCTTTATTTAAGCAGGACAGGATAAAAACAAACCAGAAATACTTCAAATTGAATTACCATTAACTACCAATTAACACTAGTTAATAACTCAGTTCATGGATCTGTATTGCCAGCTCCCAACACCACCTAAGTTCATGGATTGCTGTTGCCAGCTCTCATTGCCTAATGGTAGACCAGTAACAGAACTTTTTCATCAGTAGGACGTCATTCTCCATATATGTGCAATGCCTGTTACCATCTTAACCTAAAATCACTGATGCAATTTTTCACAACACACATCTTAGTGATATTAATATTTCTTCCCCATCAAATATGTCATCTCACTATATCATCTCTTTGCTTATCATGCGGTAGTTTACTAGAAAGTTAGGCTACACAGTTGATGAAGTAAGAATATTCATTAACTTTGAAAATTTTCCAGCAATATTAAGAGCCAATTGACTGAGATTTTGGTATAACACAAATTCTTATGTTGAAGCCCACTACTTCTCCCACCATTTTGTGAATATCAGTTGGACTTTGTATAACATAAAGTCAAGTTATGACTCACCACAACTTTCATTACTTGCAAGGATTGAGTTATGGAAGTCCAAAGAAACCAAAAAACATAAAGTATTTAATAGCCATATGTGTATATCAGCTTAGAAGCACAAAAATGTCCGAGCATTGATCTTCATGCATGTCTAGAGCACATTATAAAACACAAATATGTGAAAGAGAGTTTAAAGGTAAGAGTAAATATAACAAAAGCAGTAATGACACCATATGGGGTAAACACCAGGGAAAAAAGAATTGGTTGAGAAGTTCTTTGAACATTACAATAAAGAAAAGAATAACTTTTGGCTTACCTGGGTAAAATATCCTTGCTTTTCTGCTTTCATCTTCCTAAAAAAGGTACCACTTGTCAATTCTAAGTGGAAAAACTCATCATACTCTTAAGTAAGACTGAAGTTATAGAATCACACTGCTGAGATGCTAACTTACCAAGCGAGCATCAGAATCCTCACATCAGTATGATCAACTTGCAGATCCGAGCACAGAGCCTCAATCCCTTCTGGACTGCAAATAGACAACATATAACGAATTCTTACTCCAATGCCGCTCAACTTTTTGAAGTAATTTACTGGGCCAAATGATTTCAAAGTCAAACTAGATTTCCAATACATTTTCTTGTAACTACTACATTAAACAAGATGTCGATCTCAAGTGAGCAGATGCCGTCCTATGACTATTTAAACAGCCACTCTTTTTCCCATTTGCTCTAATCAAGAGTGACAAATTCTGACATGAGAAAAGGATCTTGATAAGCAATTATTTTTCAACATAAGCTTATAAGTCAAGAAAGCATATCTCATGTGTCCACAGTGACACATTTTTTAATTTTGACTGTACAAAAATTTTGCCGCAGACATGTAATTTTGTTTGTTTTATTACTCTGGCAATATCCAATCAAGTCAAACATGGAATATGAAGTGCGTTGGACTTTAGTACTTTCTGGTATTCTTTGAAATCAACTTATTCAAAATGCAATTCAGCAGATGGAATACTCAACAAAATGAATTACTTAAACTAAAATATACTTACTCAATCATTCCCAATGACTTGTTCACATACGACTCAAAGAAGCTGTCAACCAGCTGTCTGACTTTTGAGAGAGCTTTTCTTGAGGCTGAAACAAGAAAACACCAAATGGGTCAAAAAAACATGCACATAGTTCTTGATTGAAATTGATATTTCAGATTTAGTGTCCTCAGCTAATCAAGAAAGCCTGAATCTGGTGCAGATAAGCAAAGATGCGTACAGTTCTTTTACCTTTTTATTTGCGTTTATAAGGAAGTAATTAGCAAAATGCTGCAATGCAGTGGCTGCAAAGTTTTGATCTAAACAAGTTGTAAACTTAAGGAAGATCAAGTACCATGAGTGGTTCTTGTGTATATTCAGGATTGTACAAGATTCATTATGACTGCGAATCAGTCACATGACCAGCAGCTACGATATCCATCAATTATTTACATCCGAGTGACATAAATATGAAAAGACCATAATGTATTGGATCTGTTATTTAGATGAAACCTCTCTTAGGTAACAGAGTTTGCTCAATATGGAGCTTCACTTAAATTAACCCATTTTAAGTAGACTATGCACAATAATATCCATATAATTCGCAGAGACACAGACATAACATAGGAAGTCTTTATAAGCAGCATATTATGTAATTGGACACTCCTTTTCTCAGAGAAAATCAGATAGGCATTCCCTAGGATCCTACCCTAAATCAAGCAGCAAAAGCTTTAGGAGGTCCCGAATATTTTATAATGGTTCCTAACTTGCCAGAGATAAATGCAAGGCCTGCGGAGCAAAACCAAGCTTGTATGACAAAGCAATATATAGAGACCAAGAAACCATCTCAGTCTGCTTTCTGCTTCTAGGAACATGCAATACTCGCAAAGCCCGCCAAGTTGCTCAAAGAGCAGAGCCTACATTTCAGTTAACTCCATGTAAATTCCTCCCACCACTCTATTGAAGAGCAATCCCAGCTCAGTGAACTATATGCTCACACACCATCTTCCTGAATTTGTTGCCCCAGGATGTTGCTTAACTTCTTAAATATTGTATTTCACAAGGTAGACTTGGCTGCAAATGACTGACCTAAATGTTTGGGCTCCCTAAAGGCCAGTTGGCGCTTAATCAAATAGTTGAAACAAATTTGTCCTTAGGAAGGTATTCTACTCTAGAATTAAGTTGAATTTGGCAGGTGCTGAGACCTGCAGGGGCGTAAACATCTCTGCTTGCTGTATCTATTCTATATTTATTAAAGCAAAAATTGTGCCACTTGGAAGTATAAAATGCCATTCTTAATCACAAAGTAAAAGCTCCAAAGGCTAAGAATTCTGTGACCACCTTGAACAAGCATCATGTTTCAAACAACACTGAAGGCTCTAAATGGCGCCAAAAATCGCATCATTGAACTTAATCCAATCTCCACATTTAAGCATATAAACCACCTTTCCATCAGTAGTCATCGGTATCTGAAATCCCAAAATCTTTCGCTATCATGCCTTTAATCAAGAAAGCAATAGAAAACCCCAGTACAACAATGGCAATCGACTCAGATCAGACTTGAATAGACCAGATAGTTCTCACTACATAACCTACCAAATTTGACTAAAATCTTGATCACAGATTATCTGAACAAAGTAAAACATTTATTTACAAATTATAAAGAAACAAAAAGCACATGCACACATACAAAAACAACAAGAATCACGCTCATAAACATTAATTTTGATTAAAACACAATTTGAATTCAATAAATTCACAACTAAAAAAAATGTACAAACACACAAAATACACCGAAATTGAGATAAAACAGTAATCACAGTAATTCCTTAGAAATCCCATGTCTGCTAATGAAACCCACTAATCAAATTTAACAAAGAATAATCGAATTGAACAATATTTCCAATCAACCCAACGTTAGATTAAACAGAAACATAAAGAAAAGAAAGAAAAGAAATGGTTTTGTTACCAGAAGAAGAAGAATCAACCCGAGAAGATTTGGCAGTTGGGGCTGAGTTCAAAGGCCTAGATTTCCTCTTTGAAGAAGCTCGAGGCATTTTTTCTATTTTTCTTTTATGCAATGATGAGATTATTGTTCGTAATCTTTCTTTTACACTGAATTGCTTTTTTCCTTTTCCCTCTCTGGAATTGGGTTTTGTTTTGCAGAGGGTTTTTGGGTACCTGGGAGCTCTGAAGAATGCAAATGCAGTGTGGGATATATAAAGGTGTGGGTGAGTGGGCGGGTGGGTCACTACTTACCGGGTTGGGTTGATCGTTGGACTGTTTTAAAGATTTATAAGAAGCTCCTTAAAACTTATTTAATTAAAGTCAAAATAATTTTTTCTATTATGGTATAGGGATAATTTCAGAAACCTCCGCTAATGTTTCTAACAACTTCACTGACCTCTTTTAAGATTTGAAAAATTATACTAATCTCTCTTGAGATTTATGATTTGGTAACAAAATCAATCCACCTCTGAAAAGTATAATTAATTAAAAAATTACTTCTTGGAGTGAGATGAAAATTTTGTTCCACAAATGCCCGTTATGCATTCCAATCTAGGTGTATTAGCTGCAAAAAATTATCAATTAAGGTGTATTGCAATTATGATTGTATCGAAAAATTCCATGATTTTCAACTAAGATTATAACTTTTAAATATTAAACTTAGAATAGCAGAGATAATTTGTTTACCTGATTTAAGGTATGCCTTTTATGATTTAGCACAAAAATGAATTTCCAATTTTGCCTTTCTTCTACCTCTTTTTTCAGTCATTTCCATGAAATTACTCCAATACAAAGGGCATCTTTTCAGTTTCTAAACCAAGGGGAAAAATCCTCAAGAACAAATTTGTTTTTCTATTTCTTTTCTATATAATTCCTTTATTCTACTCGAGTCTTTCTTATATACGATTGAAATATGGTCATATCAAGTTCTGTCAATCACAAAAAAATGCTAATTGGTGTAGCAAATTGGCGCTATTTTGTATCTTCTACATTACTATTCATACTGTTAACAAATAATTTCGTTAATTAGTTGATTTGTGCCATAATTACACAATTTTCAAATTTTAGTTTCTAATCTCAATTAATGTGTTGAGGTACATGAATAATTTCACGCTAGATAATGTCAACAAATAGGCTCCTTATTCTGTTAGAAGAGGTCAGTATAATTTTCAAAACCTCAAGAGAGATCAATGAAATTGTCAAAAAACTCAAGAGAGGTTTGAGTTTTTTGAAATTATCCCTATTGTATAATCTAATCAAAAGTACATAGAATATATATTAGTGATGGTTTAATTTAGAGTTTTGTTTTCCGTCCTTCCTTTGCGACTAAATGAACTAAGACAAATTTAATGAATAAAAAAGTACTTAAGCCATTTTATGTCGAATTAGTCATTGGTTAAACCAAAAGGTGGTTCGATATTACTAGTTGCCAAGGCCTTGAGTTTAAGCAGTAAAATCATAAAATTATGAGTCGTCATTTAGAGTCACATTTTATGGGTTAATTCCTTAGATTATAGCTATAAAAAAAAATCAGTAAGTTGTTACTCTAACAATGTTCGAGTACTAAACTATGCATGCAGTACTAACGAAGCATGGTAGGGCAATTTTCATTTTTTTTTAAGCATGATTCATGCTATCATGCTCAATCAGTATGGTAGCATCGGTCAAGTAAGAAAAAAAAAAGCTGACGGATTCCTTTTTGTTACAGATGCTATCACAATTGTGTAGCGAAAAAAAGGCCAATTGTTGATTCTAGCCGTTAAATATTCCGTTTCAGAGACCAGTGCGACATGTTCCATTTCAGACAAACACATTATCTAGTTGAGGTAGACATCACAAGCATGGCTTGTATGATGAAACTGTTGGTGAACTTAGCGTTCAAACTTCAAATCATGGAGATACACACTCAACCTCTACGCAAGCCTTTGAGTCAGCAGTTTACTCTATTTGTATCTCTACCAACACCAAATGTGCATGCCTCACGCTAGCTATACACACTTACCTTCGTTTAGAGAATATGTCATGCCACCGCTGCCCTTGCCGACCATTGGTGCCCAGAGCACGCCGTCGCTACAATTTTCGCCTTTTGCCACACTACCCACACCCTCGCCACAAAGTCGTGGATTTGAGGCACAATTTCCATTCTCATCGCATTTACCTCCACATGAGTATGTTTCTATGGCATCAGTCTCTTCTTCATATGCTGAATTACACCTAATATTCAGTTTCCTTAATAGAACAGGCGGTATTTTTTCTATTCGGAAACTTTTTGATTATTACAGTTTCGGAGAGCCAACGGTCTTTCCTATCACCGACCAACCTGCATGTGCATCCGGACACTTTCAATCAGGAAATTTTTCCACCTTTCGTACTGAAAACGATTAGATAGTAGTGATTGTGCTGAATCACCCACAGAGGACGATGTTGATCTTGATAGTGCTTCTAGAGATGATGCACCCCCTTGATTGCACGGATCACCTGACATCCTTTGTGAACGTCAGAGAGATCAACCAAAAAGATTTTATTGCCCACCCACAATACCACGTGATAAGGGCAGGAGTAAGGGCAACATGCGTCTTAAGCATTGACGTAATCATTAGTTGGGCATGTTTCTTAATTTTATCATACGAATGATAGTTATTCTTATTTTTAGATTTCATCATTTGACATCATCATATTTTTCTTCTTTTCTATTTTTTTGGCTTTTATTTTTCTAATTTCAAGTATTACAATTTTATATCTTTCTAAATACAACAATATAATTAATTATGTTAATAATTTTAATTACTTAAACCCTAAACGGTAAATCCTACACCCTAAACGCTAAACTCTAAATCCTATTAATGGATTCAACCAAAAAAAAAAAAAAAAAATGGGTGACTGCCGTGCTTGTGCGTAATTATTGGCTGCTATGCTACATACAAGAGCAGATGAGAGCGTCAATCTTAGTACTACAAGTTTCGTTCAAAGTGTCAACCAGGAAAAATGATCCTACTAGAATAGTGTAAAACCTCAACGTGCATTGGATTTGATGCTTTTTTTTTGTTTTTTACATGCGTGTAATTAATCAACTGACCCCCACAGAAACAGTAATAAATTAGGACTAGCAAAATTCAGTATAATAAAAATGGCATACTCGCAAGCTGGTCTGGAAGATAAAGAAAGATTTCTCAGAGAACTCATATTTCCAAACCATTCTGGAATTGGACCCAAGAAATTATTTCCACTCAAATCTGATAGAGTTATACCCCCTGAAATTGCAAAAATAAAGGTGGAATGGGACTCTGAGATCACGTTAATTTGAAGTTCTAATGCTTGGAGAATCCATTACCCTTGGAATGTCAAATGGAAGTTGCTCCGTGAAGTAATTGCTGCTAAGATCCATCCTGCCAACCCACTTAAATTTACCAATTTCAGGTGGAAATTGGAATGCTACCCTCCATTCCATTTTTTTTTTTTTTTTTTTTTTTACAGAAGTTCCTGTCAGTATGAAAACTCTTAAAGCTTTTACAACTCACCAAAAAAGATGAAATAATACTCAACTCTTTGGGGTTAAATAGTCGCCTGCAACATTAATAAGAGTGTCAAGGAGATACACCATTGCCTATTGGTTACCTGATAGATAAACCAATATTTTATCGTGTATCACATGCATAATTAATGAACATCCCCATTGACTGCTATAGCGAATTTCTTCTCCCTAGACCATGGAGGTAATTTCGAGCAAATTGGTGCAAAGTTCTTGAGCTTTAGATATCATAACCATGTGATCTGCTTCTTTTATTTCCTTGGCCACGTCTGGAGGATTGTTTTCTACCATCCACCTTTGCACATCCGCCGGCATCGCCACGTCTGATCCACCAATGAAATATGCCCGACGAACTGACCCATATTTTTCCTCGGTAACCCTAAGTTGTTGATTTGACTCCTGGTCCGTGAAGAACTTGGTCGGTCTTACTAACAACGTTGCAAGTTTTAGATCCTATTGAAATAGTTGACCATAAATTGATGAAATAAAATTGAAGTAGACAGGGTACTGTATTTTGCTTGCTTTTTTGGTACAAGAGAAAAGAACTTCTTCAACTGGAAGTGCAACAATTGATTTATGCTTCAAATACATATTTGGTTAATGATTCTTGTAGAACAGAATCAACTTCACATTCGTGGAATTGCTCGTGATGACTACGCTAGGCCGACAGCATGAGAGACTTATCTATCAAGCTAGTAATCAACAGCTCAAAGAGTCCGTTTGCAAGGTGTATTTTTTTTGGGTATTTATGAAAATTTTTATTATAAAATTTATAGAAATTTTTTTGTATATTTAAAGATTTGGAGAAAAACTTTCTTATTTTTTCCTTTTCTTTTCTTTTTGTTTTTGCCTTTCTTTCTTCTCTTTTTATTTCTTCTCTCATTGTTGCTGTTCTTCTTCTCCCTCCCGCCATCTCACTCTCCCCTTTCCTTCTTTCTTTTTTCCTCTTTCTTCCTCCCTCTTTCTCCTTCCTTCTCCTTTTCTCCCCCTCCTCTCCTTTCCTCTCCCTTCTTCTCCTACTTCCCCCTCTCTCTCTCTCACTCCATCCTCTTCCCCTCTTCGACGGCCTCCGATTGCATGACCAGAGGTCGTCGGAATGGGGGAGGGGCCGGGGTGAGGCCGTGAAGAAGAGGGAAGAAGGAGAAGGCGAGGGAGGTGAAGAGAGAGAGAGGAAAAAAGGGATAAAGGAGTCTGTCCGTGGTGGTAGGCTTAGGTGGAGGAAGAAGAAAAAAAGAAAGAAAGAAAGAAAAAATTATGTGTCATTTCAATATACAAAAAACTTGGCTTCCGAACAGACTCTTTAATGTGATCCGTTTACGATATATAAAAAATAATTGAAAATATAATTCATCAAAGAGATATTTGTACTTGGAAAATTTTGGACCTGATAAAGAATAGACTTGTTCATCAAATCAGGTATAGCTCACCTTTCCCTGCCTGAGTAACAATACTAGAGTCACTAAATCTATCATTACTCTACTTATCCATATTTTTGTTATTATGAAGCTACACTTGGTGTCACAGGTTAGGCCTTTCTTGTATCTACTGAATGAAAAACTCGTGGGTGCTTGTCCCAATTTTATCAGATGTCCCAAAAGCCTGGGCACTTGTCAATAGTCATATAAGCTGAACGTAGTAGTGCTCTTCCATTGGTGGTGGGTCCGATGATAAGTAGGTAAAAATTTGTTTTGTATTTTGAAGACAAAAGTTTACATAATTAATATTTAATTAAACTTTATGCGTTCTTAGTGCCCAAAACAGAAAAAGCACAACAAATGAAATAATCCCAACTAATTTGTGTGTAAATCATTCAGAATTTCCAGCCCATTAATGGGTCTTGGAAGAATCTTTTACCTCAAGTGGTGAGTTTGTATAAACTCTCTTTGCCAAGAATTCGTTCCCAAAGAGGATAATTGTTTGGGTACCTCCAGACACATTAATCTTCTTTTGTTCACTATCTAGATAATATTCTGGTCCTGGACAAAACTACATATTCGTGGAAAGGAAACGGATCAAATTATATAACAAAATGAACTGAAATGAAATCACGAAACAACAAAATTAAGCAGTAGAAGTCAAATCAACAAAATGAACGATTTTTCTATTTCCCAAATATCTGTTGCCGTATTTTTCACTTAGGTGGATAATTACCATATAAATCAAATGCTTTGGAGTAGGTGGATACAAGCATGTTTTGCCAGAATTCAATCTCTTTCAGAATACTGAATTTGAGCCAAGTGAGCTTATGTATGTTCATAGAATTCTCTCAATGGTCCTGAACCAACCATTACGACAGACATTAAATCTCTCATCTGTTTGAGAAGATTAAAAATTTTGAGCATTTAGAAAACTCTTTTGACTGTTTTTCTACTATTTAAAAAACTTAAAGCTGCATATGCATCATAGTATAAACTTGAGGTTTAAGCAGTAATACATACCCATTCGTCAAGTTTGTCTAGGGGCAATTCAGGACCAAGCATGTGAGCAGAAACAAAAACAGCAAAATCAATTTTCTCTGGATATCTTTCCATGGCTGAGGAAACAGCATAGCCACCCATGCTGTGGCCAACAAGAATGACTTTTTCCTCCGGCGAAAGAGCGTCCATGAACGAGAAGAGTGGTTTGTGGTAGTCATCAATGGTTAGCACATCTTGAATCCGCTCCTGGTTTCGCCCAGATGCAGCTAAGTCTAAGGCTGTAACTTTGTGGCCTGCCTCTTCCAACAAAGTCACTAGTTTGTACCAAGACCATGCACCAAGACAAGCACCATGAACGAGCAGAAAGTGTGAACGATTACCTACCATATTGAACTTTTCAGTCTGTAGTGTTTTTTTTCGTGCAATTCAATATCTAAAATGCACTAGTATATGTAAGCAAGCATGCCTAGACATTTGATACCTGGGCATGGTAGGCCCAATGGCCAACAAAAGTGCTAGACATCAAGTGATCACGCCTCCTGGGATCAGGTTAATAAGCAAAAGTCTTGACCGTTTCGGTAAAAAAAAAAAAGTGATCACGCCTCCCGAGTCCTGCCAAATGCCCGGTTGGTGTCTTCGGTTCGGCCCTATTCCCCATGGATCCTCATTAATAAATTTCTATCCTTTTTTTTTAATCAGCCTCACTTATTTATTATGTACCTAATCCTGTTTCTATTCTAAGGGTATTCTAAAGGAGGGCCCAACTTGACATTCTATTCTAAGGGTATTCTAAAGGAGGGCCCAACTTGACATATAGGGGAATCAACGAAAATTGAACCACCATTGAACTAGACGGGGGCACTACTTACTTCTATTCCTACTCTAAGCATATTCTAAGGAGGAGAGCCCAACTAGACCTACAAAGATATCTACAGGTATTGAATCACCATTAAATCAGACGAATACACTACACACCCGTATAACTTTAGAGAATGCCACTTAAAATGGCAAGCCACATATAGTGGTAAGTAATGGAATGTAAGATTTAAACCCTTGATTTAACACCCCCACCAAAATTTAAAATTTTTTATAATGGCCAACAGTCCAAATGGCTGTTGTTAACAAATTTCTACCACATGCCCCGATTTTTAAGTTTTCTCACGTGAGACTTCAGTCTTACTTGAGCCAGATTAGTTTAAAAGAGGCAAATGCAACATAAATGATCTTCATTTCTCTCCAGCATTCAATAAGTCTTATTGTTTGGCCTGATTCCATGATTCACAAAACTCTGTAATCTTAAAAAATGCATACAAAATCCCAATCTTTTCATAAAGGAGAGGAGGAAAAAAAAAATTTTTTTGGTAAACACATTACAAAGAAGCGTGTGCTATGGATATAAATCACAAAATTGCATAATTATGAGAAATTAAAAACAGTAATCCATAAATTCGTCTGCGGGATTGATACCAAGAAAATCAGTTCTCTCCTTGCCTCTAGATTTCTTGGAGGTTCCAACAGCAATGACCATCTAAAAAGAGTGATACTAGAGCAATTCTCCATGAAGTATTTGTCCTCAATATTGGGATGCCAATATTACTGGATTTCTTTCTTTCTTTCTTTGGCATCAAAACGGACAAAGGCATCCTATGTAATAGAGATTACAATAATCTTGCTTGGCTAGTCAACTCATGGGCTACAATAACCTGATTCCTGGAGACTTTCTGGAATACAACTTGTACAAAAAAAAAAAAAAAAGAAAGCTACTACTTGATTTTACTCATTACTATTCAGTATAAATATAGACATTTTAATATGTATGTCCTTTACTATATTAGGGACTGAGAAGACTTAAAGAGATCAAGGAACAACTTGACGGGTACTGAATCACCATGACTCAGACGAATACCTAAGGTGGCGTTTGGTTCGCACATCGGTATCGGATTCGGATTCGAAATCGGATATCTTGGGTTTGGAATGAGGTCATTCATTCCAATACATTTGTTTGGTTCAAGTACCTGGAATGTGTATCATTACTATAGTTGATGTTTGGTTCGTCGACTCTTTCGGAATGGAATATAATAAATATATTATAAACCCCATCGTAAATGATAGTTATTGGCTCTTTGTAAATGGGATATAAGAAATCTTCACTAATTAAATATATTAGTATAAATGTATTAGTAAATTTAGTCTAACTAATTAATAATTTCTATTAGTAAACATGTATAATTATTAGTAAAATTGATAATATTAATTATATTACATAAATTAATATACATTATATAATACATATAAATAATAATATTATTATTATAAGTTTGTAACTAATTAAATTAAAAATTATATATATAATTAAATATAAATATACAATGTTATAATATAAATATATAAATATATAATATATACAAATATTAATTATAATAATATTTTATATAAATATAATATATATTACATATTAAATATAGTTATTATTATATATTATTATATTTAAAATAATAATTATTATAATTATATAACTTATTAATATTACATACATGTATATATTATAATTATATGCACATATAATATACATTTATAAATATACATATGTATTATAAATATAATATTTATAATAATAATAAATTTATAATATATATTATATAAGTATAATTATATTTAACTAAATAATTATAATATATAATTATATAATACAATAACATCATTATTATAAGTTTGTAACTAATTAAATTAAATATTATATATATAATTAATTATAATTATACAAATGCTATAAAATAAACACATAATTATAATTATATAATATATAAATATTAATTGTACTCATATTTTATATAAGTATAATGCATATTAATATTAGATATAGTAATTATTATATATTATTGTATTTAAAATAATAAATATAAATATAATTATACAATTTATTAATATTATATACATGTGTATATTATAATCATATGCACATATAATATGCATTTATAAATATACATATATATTATAAATATATTATTATATAATATTAATAAATTTATAATATATATTATATGAATATAATTATATTTAACTAAATAATTATAATATATATTTATATAATGTACTAATATTATAATTATAATATATTATATATATGTATATATTATAATATATAATAAATATAATAAATATTAATATTAATTATATCATTGTATAATTATAATATGTAATTGGATTTGTTTCTTGGAATCAAACTTGGGAATCGGACAAAACCCACCAAAATACTTGGGAATGGAGAAACACCAAATTTTTAGAAATCATTCCAAGATTTCAATTCCCATTCCAGTGAACCAAACACCATTTATGCACTTGGGATCCTCGGTGACATATTTTGAGTGCCAATTCAATGCCACCTCTAATATTGTGCCAAGTGTCCTGTTATTATTTGCACTGCTTCAAATGACCAAGAATTACTATGACACTTGGCACAATATTAGAGGTGGCATTGGATTGGCACTCAAAATATGTCACCGAGGATCTCAAGTGCCATTTATGGGGTTCATTTCATTCCCCGAATCCGATACCCTCTTACCAAACGCCCCCTAAATACCTGTTGATGAAACATTTAAGAAAATTCTGAATAATAAAACGTGGGCCAATAGACCAAGATCGACACCCAAATAAAGTCTCAAGTCTTTAAGCATGGTGCTCCATGTCTGTTTATACCAGGGAAGGTTGCTTCCACGGTGGAAAATGGGATGAACTTCCCACCCACCATGCACGCTACTCTTGCACGCAGAAAATGGTGCTATCAGCTTTGCTTTTTTTTTTTTTTTTTAAATGTCAGCTTTGCTTAAAATGCGTGCCAATCATCGATATGTACGTGTATTAGGTAGTAGTAACTACTAGTGTATTATTTTTGACAAAAAAAAAAAAAAAAAACTACTACTCTACTACTACTGTACTAGTTTTTTTTTGACAAAAAAAAAAAAACTACTACTGTACTAGTTTGCTTAAAAAATGCGTACCAACCGATATGGATGTGTATTAGGTAGCAGTACTACTAGTGTACTAGCTCGAGCACACTGGCGTCGGCAGGCATTCATTTCTCTACTTCAGCCTTGTCCAGATTGCATTTCTTCCGCACAAAAATTTTTTATATTTTTTATGAACATATTTATCAATCATCTATTTACCTCATATACATTAAATTGATATAATACATTTTTTTTATAAAATTTCTAAAAATAGCAATCTAAACGGAACATTGAGTCTGTGATAAAATTTAGTGTGGTTGGATAGAAAATTAACCAAAAAATTTTTAGAATAGTCACAGTAAAATTTTTTGAGGTATGATATATGTGAAATGAAAAAATAATTTAAAAATGTATTTTTAATGCAATTTTTTTTAAGTAACAACGTGTGCTTTTTCTTGTTAAAGTGATTGGTCCCTAAAATCAAAGGTTTTTTTTTTTTTGGTAATCTCCCGGGAGCAGGTGGAATCATTGACATTAGTTTGTATGAAATTGGATCCAAAACAAAAAGAAAGGATTGATGGACGGAGCTCGCAATAATCTTCGATCCCCTACTGGCTAAGCTACGGGCACGCCTATTCCATTGGAGTTCTAAACTTCTGAGTACGGGGGTAAGATTGTCCTCATTCGGCACGTGCTCGGCTCGATTCCTCTGTATCTGCTTCAGGCAATTTGCCCTCCCAAAACCGTGGTGACGGCCCTAGGCAGGATCTGCAACTTATTTCTCTGGGATTCAAATGTTGATTCAAAGAGGATGCACTGGGCGATGTGGGAGAAGCTATGCTTTCCTGTTCAAGAAGAGGGTCTGGGGTTTCGCTCCTTTTTTGAGTCGGCAAAGGCCTTCGCCTGCAAGTCGTGGTGGCAGTTACACAGAAATGATTCGATATGGGCTGGGTATATGTACAGTAAGTACATTAAGGACTCCCACCCGTCAATCGCTGTGGTGGATCATCCCCCGGCGTCATGGCGACGACTGTTAGCAGTCCGAGATTTTGCGGAGACGCGGATTTGTTGGTGCTTAGGAAAGGGACTAGTCGACTTCTGGTACGATACCTGGTGTGGTGATCTCCCTCTAGCGCTAGTGGTGGGGGTCACCAATTCCCCTTATGCCCTGGTGGCAGAGTTCTACACAGCTCATGGCTGGAATGTTCCTCGGCTCAAGGAGTGGGTGCCAGACTTTGTGGTGCAGCGGATCACTAGCATTCCTTTCTTCCCTGAACAGGACGATGCCATGGTTTGGGTACCATCACACAATGGTGATTTCTCTGTGGCTTCCGCATGGGAGGACATCCGTCAAAGACGTCATACATCGTGGATTGATCGCTATGTATGGGGGCCGATCGTGCCCTTACGAGTTTCCTTTTTTGCATGGCGTCTAGTGCGCCGTTGGATCCC